GGAGCCTGCTGTTCATCTCGGAGGGGGAATGAAAGGAGGTTCTCTCAGGCTCCCTCCTCAGTGCTCTTTGGAGGGGAGAGGCTGCCTCCTCCTGGCCGGGAAACAGCGTCCCAGGGAAGGAAACTGCTTCCTGGCCAAAGTCCCACCCTACCAGATGGCCAGAGGCAGCTCCCCAGGGAAACTGAGGCAGCAGGAGCAATTGGGGAGGTGGGCAAATAAACCATTTCATGAACGGGTGGGAGATGGGAGGAGGGTGGGTGGGTGGGTGAGCGGGAAGGTGAACAGTGTGGGTGGCATTACCGAGAGCGCGGAGAGGGCGTCAGGGATCTACCTGGGGCACTCAGGAGTCCAGGCTTGGAGGGCAGGTGGACCAGGGCTGGCCCCACAGTGCCTCCTCCCCGCCCCCACGTCTCGAGACCCACTGAGGACACGGACAAAATGACGCTTCTAAATGGAATTTCATTCTTACACCAGTTCTAGGTTGCCAAGACAGCTCAGGGGGTTCCCAGGCCCACCCCGATGTGCCTTCATCGAAGGCAAGGAAAAAACACTTGCAGCTGGGCATGGTGGCTCGCGCCTGTCATCCCAGCCCTTTGGGAGGCCGAGGTGCGTGGATTGCCTGAGCCCGCGGGTTCGAGACCAGCTTGGGCAACTTGGCGAGACCTCGTTGCGACAATAAATAAAAAAATTAGCCAGGTGTGGTGGCACACGCCTGTGGTCCCAGCTACTTGGAAGGCTGAGGCGGAAGGATCGCCTGCGCCCAGCAGGTCGAGGCTGCGGTGGCTGTGAGCGTGCCCCTGCGCCCCAGCCTGGTGACAGAGTGAGACCCTGACTCAAAAAACAAACAAACAAACAAAAAGCAGATGCCATGTCTCCTACTGTTTGCTCACCACACGGGGCACCGTGCCACCAGATATGGGGGTCCCCACAAGCAGGCAGCTGTCCGGCGGCAGACGCCGGTGGGGTCTGCGGGGAAGTAGCACATTCCACAGACCCAGCCCACCACTGCCCTCCACCGCCACTTCTGATGCCAGCCACAAGCCCTGGGCCGTGGCTTGTGCTTCTGACCAACCAGCTCTAATCAGGGCTCCCCTGACTCCCTCTTGGACTTGATCGATGTGCCAGGGTGGCCTCCAGGACTCAGGGAAACACCTCCGTTGACCCACTGATGATCTAGGATGTGGCAAAGATGTGGGTGAACAGCAGACGGGGAGAAGTGTCCGGCCCGGGGTGGGAGGTGGAGCCCGGACCCTGTCCTCTTGGGGCCTCCTTGGAGGCTTCGTGATATGGGCTGATGGGTTACATCATCGGCCACGGGTGATGACCCGACCCTTCACGCCTCTCTCCTGGGAGCAGGGTCAAGTGTCCCTTGTCTTCCCAGTGAGCAGTGGAGGCTACCAGAGGAGGGCGGCAGCCTCCAGTCTCCTTGTCAGCAACAAAGTCGCCTTCACCACCCCAGAGAGTCCCCGGAAGCCAGGAGTCATGCACAGGGCCACAGGGACCCAGGACAGACTTCTCGACGTTGCATCCACCTCCTCCTCGGTGAGGGGCATTCGTCAGCACTAGCCAGCCGGTATCCACACATCATTATTTTTATTATTATTTGTATTTATTTATTGTTGTAGAGATGGGGGTCTCACTATGCTGCCCAGGCTGGTTTTGAACTCCTGACCCCGAGTAACCCTCCTCCCACATCGGCCTCCCAAAGTGTTGGGAATACAGGTGTGAGCCACTGCGCCCAGCAACACATCCTAATTAACTAAGCCCACCCTTGATCCTGAGTTCCTGGGTTTCCCCCGCTGCCTTTTTCTGTCCCCAGCCCCCTCCAGCATCCCACATGACACCAGGTGGCCCTGTCTCCTCGGGCTCCTCCGGGCTGTGACAGCCTCTCACACCTCCTTGCCTCTGGTGACCTGGACAGCTTCGAGGAGGGCAGGTCAGGGCTGCTGGCGGACGCCCCTGACGGCGATGTGTCTGGGGCTTTCCTCGCGATTCGGCTGGAGCTCTGGGTCTGGGGGTGGAAAGCCCAGGGGGAAGAGCCGGTCTTGTCACAGCGCATCGAGGACACACACCGTCACGTGACCTGTCGCGGCTGGTGTCCCCTGAGCCGCCTGCTGGGGCCGCGCCCGACTGTGTCAATCGTGAAGTTGCGCTCACGGTCCCTTCCCCACGCCACGTGCAGCCACAGGAGTGCTGGAGATCTATGGGGACACCTGCCTCCTCTCCCTCACCGGCTTATATATTCATTCATTCATTCCCTCATTCATCCATTCATTCATATGAGGTGCGAGCCACCACGCCCCTGCAGCACATCCTAATGAACTAAGCCCACATTTGACCCCGATTTCTGGGGTTTCCCCCACTGTCTTTTTCCTTTCCCCAGCCCCTCCACCATCCCAAGTGACACCGGAGTGGAGCTGGGGTGTCTATTTGGGGCTGTGGGCTAAGATCCAACATGATGTGTCTCACAGTTTTCCGGCTTTGGCCTTTGGAGCCTGTGAAGTTCGATCCAAAACTATTTTTGGTCAATCCGTGAATTGTCAGATGAGAGAGGGAGAGAGAGGACACAGGAAGTCCCTGGGGGTAAACACCATCCGACACCCAAGCCTGACACCTTCCTAGAAAGTAAAGAGAGGTTCAAGACACGCCTGGGCAACTTGGTGAGCCCTCGTCTCTACAATAAATCAAAAAATCAGCCGGGCGTGGTAGCACGCACCTGTAATTCCGGCTACTCGGAAAGGCTGAGGCGGAGGGATCGCCGGAGCCCAGGAGGCGAGGCTGCGGTGGCCGGGAGAGGCCACTGCACTCCAGTCTGGGCGACAGAGTGAGACTCCGACTCAAAAAAAAAGAGGGCTGCATGGGTCAGCTTGCAGTGGGCAATGGGCCTGACCCTCAGGACGGGGTCCGTGGCGGGGGTTGGCGTGCGTGGCGGGGTCTGTGGCAGGGGGCGGGGGCCCTGTCCCCCTGGCCCGGCCTTATTAGAGGGCCTTCCTGGCTTCCATGGGCCAGCACTGCCTTTCAGTGGGGGTGGGCGGCCACCCCAGCACGCCAGGGAGGGCGGGCTGGCGTGGGGGCGGCGACAGGCCGTGGCTTTCCCTCAACAGACACGTCCTCTTGCAGGGGGGAGCGTTGGGCTGGAGGCATGGGGCTCGGCAGAGGGGCGAGGACTCACCGGGCTCCCGCCACGGTGGGCTGGAGGGCCCAGGACAAGGGGCTGTGGCCCGATCTGGCCTCCAGAGGGCCGGCCTGGGCCTCCTGCCTGCCCGCCAGGAGGCTCGGTGCCACTTGGAGACAAGGAGTAGGAGCACTGGGCAGAGTCTTGGTTCCCAGGCCCGCCCCCCGCCCCCACAGTGCTCCAGGCGGGTGCAGGAGTGCCCGGGTGGGAGGTGGATGCCCTGGGCCCCTCACTGCCTCCTCGGAGGCCTCCTGGACCTGCCTTTCTCTGCAAGGCTGGAGAAGAACAGTCCCAGGGCCAGGCAGGCACAGCCGTGAGGGACTCCTCTCCCTTAGAGGGGCCAGGCCGGCCACCCCACAACATGGGCGTGACATCCCTCCACCCAGAGCCTTCATTTCTGCTGCCTGCTGCCCTGGCCCAGCCAGGGCCACACCAGAGCTGGGCCCAGGCCCTCCCCCCAGGTGATGTCCGAGTCCAAGACTCCCATGGGTCCCCACAGGCTCAGGGCAGGGGATTCCTGGGCGTCAAAGCTGCGGAGGGGCTGCCTGGGGGTGCCGGCATGGACCAGGGCTCCTGACGGCCCCCACTCCCCGACAGAGGGAGAGAGGAGGTGGCCGTGCAGTCCTCTCCAGCAACAGTCTTCCTGCGCTGAGAGGGCAGCCCAGTCACCTTCCAACAGTAACGCCAGCCTTGTTCTAGCAGGGCAGACCCAGGGCCCAGTTCCAGTGGCTTCTAGCAGGCCTGCGGGGCGCCCTTCTCCCCTGTCAGGTGCCGAGCGTCGTGGAGGGCCTCACATGACGAGATGCAGAAAGAGACAGTGCCAGCCCCGAGGGGAGAGCTGGACACAAGCGGCCCCACCCACCCCTCAGCCCTAAGCACCCAGAGTGTCACCGCGTCTGGCCAGATGTGCGTTTCCACCAAGCCTCCCCAGAGACCCCACACGTGTGGGAGTGAGGCCCAGCCTCCGCCTGTGGCCCCCAAGACGGCTTTATTCCCATTTGTGCCTCTGAGGCTTTAAAAACGGAATCACTGACCGGGCTCGGTGGCTCAGCCTGTCATCCCAGCACTTTGGGAGGCTGAGCAGAGTGGATTGCCTGAGCCCGTGGGTTCAAGACCAACCCAGGCAACATGGCGAGACCCCATCTCTACAATAAATAAAAATGAAAAAAAGAGAAAAAACTAGCTGGGTGTGGTAGCGCGCACCTGTATTTCCAGCTACTCGGAAGGCTGAGGTGGAAGGATCGCTGGAGCCCAGCAGGTCGATGCCGGGGTGGCCATAAGCGTGCCGCTGCCCTCCAGCCTGGGTGGCAGAGGGAGACTCTGACTCAAAAAAAAAAAGAAAAGAGAAAAATGGAATCTCCTTTCCTAAATGTGGCTGCCATAGGCCGTCTCCAACCATGCTTCACAGAACACCATCATCCCAGCCTTTCCGTTAGACACAGTGTCCCGGCTTCCTCCTGGGTCCCCCCTGGCCAGCTCCCACCTATGCACCCCCACGACAGGGCACTCACTCCCCCCAGGCGCCTACCCACCCTACCCAGCCGCTGACGCCCCACCCCGTGCCATCCCCTGGGGCCCCACCAAGAACAATGCCATGCCCTCCTGGGAGCCAATGCCTGGGTGCCGCCGCCCCTCCCCTTCCTGCCTGTCCTTCCTCTGGGCACCCAGCGGCTCAGTCCTAGGGACATGTTGACAAGCGGACAGAGGGCGGGTGCAGCCACGTCCTGGGCGGGTACCTGCGGTCTGAAGCCCTGCCCAGCTGGAAACCGCAAAGACAGCGGTGGGGACGGGTGAGGGAGGGAGGAGAGGAACGGAGAGGGCCACCATGGGGCCTTGGAGTCGAGTCAGGGCGGCCAAATGTCAGATGCTGGTCACTGGCTTCTTTGTCTTGGTAACAGGCAGGCTGGGCGGCAGGGGAGGGAGAGGGCGGTGGGTGGGGTGGGCAGGGGCGAGGGTGGCAGGGCTGGCTCAGGCCTCTAGCACGGTGGTGACCCGTCCCCCCACGCGCACACACGCTCCAGCCCTGCTGTCCCAACCCTGCCCCTGCAGCCGTGTGCCTGCGGTGCCTGGCGGCCCGCGGTGACCGTTTGGGTGTGTGGTGGTGACCCCTTGGACACGTGGCCCTGAGGGCAGCGTTTGTCTCCCGAGCGGCAGTGCAGGCCTGGAGGAGGCCTGATGGTGCCAGGGCTATGGGCAGGGGGTGAGCTGGGATGGAGGGCGCTGGCAGTGGGGTCCAAGGCTCTCCCCCGTTATGGCCCTGTGGGGTGCTCTCACAGGATGGGACCCGCCCCGCTGTGTAGACGGAAGGACCTGAGATCCAGGTCCTCAGGGAAGCTGGGGAGCGGGTGTGAGAGTGTGCTTATCCATGTATCTGTGTGAGCATGTGTGCATGAGTGTGTGCATGTGTGTGTGGTGGGGTGTCTAGGGTGACGGCCCTCCGAGGCCCCCCCAGAAACACCCGCAGGCTGTCTCCTAGGAGACCAGGAAACTAGAGGGCCCAGCCCAGGGGGCCAGAAGCCCGCCCCTGCCCCCTCCAGCCCATGGTCCCACACCACGTCTGCCCTGTCTCCAGCTGCTGGGCCTCTGCGTGGCCACCGTGTCGGGGCTCACCTACTTTGGGGCCCACTTTGCCGTCATCAGCCGCGCGTCCCTGGAGAGGAACCCCTACGAGGCCATGCACCGTGGGGGTAGGTGGGGCTGGGCTGGTGCCTGGGAGGGGCTCAGTCGGAGGGGCCGGATCGGGGGTGAGGTCCACAGTGGGAGCCCTGGGCAGGGACGGGTGGTCAGGCAGGGAAGGGCCGCCCTGGAGTCCTGGCTCCCCTGGGTAGAGCCTGGGGGTCTGGGCCACAGCCGGGTGCTCCTGCCTGGGGTCCCCAGCCCCACAGGAACTTGGGGACACTGGGGTAGGCCTGGCAGGGTCCAGGCCAGCTCTGCAGTCAGAGCTCAGCCTGAATCAGGGGCTGCTGTGGCTGGCCCGGGCTCAGTGGGTCTGTAGAAGGGGCTGGCGTATTGCTGACGTCTCGCTGAGTGCCAGGGACGGGCAGGACCGAGATGCAGCACTGATGCATCCCGAGTTCAGAGGGCAGAGAATGCCAGGGTCACCTGGGGCTGGAGGAGGAAGGGAGCCAGAGGATGCTGGAGCCACACCAGCCAGGGCACTCAGGATCTCCCACCTGGGCAGCCAGGACCCCTCACCTGAAAGGCCAGGACCCCTCACCTGGACAGCTGGAGACCTCTCACCTGGGCAGCCAGGACCCCTGCAGCCCAGTGGGCGGGCACGGGGATGCAGAGGACCACAGGTCAGGGCTGCGGGACGCAGCCCCGGGCCCCTTGCTGCCTGAGAAGCCACTGCTCTTCCCCAAATCCCAGGGCTGAGGCCTCCCTGGAGGAGGAAGCCTGGGGCCCAAGTCCGGACTGATAAGATGACAGCTCCACTAGGGCCAGTTGTCACTAGGTCATGAGGACAGAGGACATGTGGCTTCAGAGATAGGCCCAGAGGCAGAAGGGGGGAGGGGAGGGGGAAGTGGGAGAGCCGGTGGCCCCAGGCCGAATTCCTGCCTCCCTACTTCCCCGGAGGGTCAGTGGGGGAGGGGGATCCCACCTGTCTGGTGGGGAGACGGCCCATTCGGAGCCTCCCGGAAGCCCAGTGCCGCTCCCGTGACCCCGAGTGGGACGTCAGACCTGGGCTCCGTGCACTCGGGCCTGTCCCGGCCCCTCACGTCCCGCGTGTCTTTCAGCCTTCCTCGTGGGGGTCAGCCTGGGAGGGCTCCTGGCCCTGGGGGCCGTGCTGAGCGCCGCAGCCGCGGTGAGGGAAGCCCAGGGCCTCATGGCCGGGGTGAGTTTTGCCCCCAGACACCCCCACGCCCCCGGAGCAAGTAAAGGGAGCCCCTGAGTGTCTAGGGAGAAACAGAGGCCCAAGGGAGGGAGAACGACCGTGACCATCCAGCTGGAGGGCCAGGACCTGGGCAGCCGGGACTCCTCGCCTGAAGACCCAGGACCCCTCCCTAGGGCCCTTTGCCAGCCGCCATCCACACACCCTATAAGCGCTTCTAGAGCCCTGGAAGGCAGAGCCGGCCTGACTGTCCTGGGAGCCATTGCCGAAGGCCCCAGGGGCTCTGTTCTGTCCCAGCCTGCTCTGGAGATGAGTTTGGGTGAATCCACTCCTGCTGGGAGGAGATCAGGTGAGGGATAGCCCCTGGCCAGGCCTCCTGCCCAGGCCTCTCTGAGCAGCATGCCCTCCCTCCCAGCCCCGCCGAGCTCCAGGCCTGAGCTCCCCCAGGCCCTCCGCCTCAGCCCATAGAGGGGCCCCGTGTGGTCTCACACCTCCTCCCCCACCAGGGCTCCC